AACTGAATTTAACTTTAAAAGCAATTGTTAATAAAATCCAATTTATTCTAAAAATCATGCTATGAAGTCAACTTTATACAATAAATAACTTTAAAATTTAATGAAGACTTATTTCTGAAAAATAAGTTTTTTCCACTCACAAGGTATGAGCTACAAGCTAGATAGGCTGATAGACGTTTCCAATCGCCTCGTTACCTCCTGAAATACGATAATGATAACCAATTTATCCACTATCGAATCGAGAAACCTTAATATCTAATAATATAACATAATTTAAATGCTCTTGGTACTTAAATAAATTCTCAAATTTTCCTTTATTAATTGGAGCTAATCACACCTTATAATCCCTTGGTTAATCACTAATTTATCAACATAATCATTATTTCAAATTTAAAACTAATTTTACTCTCCAATCTAATGAAACTAGTAATCACAATTCCACCCACATAATATACATTTGTTCCATAAAATCAATTCCCAAGTGAAATATTTCATTTACATAATCACTTCACAATTAATTAATTAAAATCCCCAAAATCGGATTCTAGGGTTTTCCCAAAAATTTGACATCTCCATACCTTGCTGAAAATTTGAAATGAATAAATCCCCACACTTGAGCTCCAATTCGTGCAAATATCCCTAAAATTCGACATATTATTCAACAAGTTAAAACCCTAAAAATTTTAACATAATTCATACTTTATCACCTAAAATAAATGAAAAATTTCAACCCAACTTGAAGATATCAACCTTACCTCCTTTCCTTTTCTTTTTCCCTTCTTCTTTTCCTTTTTCCCTTCTTCTTTTCCTCTTTTTTCTCTTCTTTCTCGGTCTCTGCTTCCCGTAACTGTGTGTGTGTTTGTTTTGCTGTGAAATGAGAAAAATGGGTCAAAGGTTTGAATTAATTGGTCCAAAACCCAAAATTGCACAATAAATCCCTTAACTTCACTTTTTAGTAACATTTAATCCTTTAACTTCCAAAAGTATATATATAAATTCCAAACTTTTAAATATATCCAATTCAACCTTCATATTTTGCCAATTGCAAAATAACCTAAATAAAATATTTAATTTCATTTTAGTCCTTGATTGACTTTGACTAGTCAATATTTGAATTTTTGACTATAAAAATTGGATTGTAACACCATCGTACACAGATCAACGTGCCACACACAAATTCGTAAACACACTCTTGAGACCAAATAGAGAAACCAAAACAGAGGTAGAGACCATGGAGATAAAATCGAACGAGGGCAAGAAAATGTTAAAGAGTGAACTGTCTCATTAACTCCAATATATCTAGCTAAGCATATTATCCATGTTGGATGAATTCTACTATAAACTAATTAGCCTTGCTGTACAAATTTTGTTACACCATACTTGCTGTTGATTCAGATACTCATCCAACTTTTATGGGAATGGTTCCAGCTGAGCATTCTAGAATGGCTCCATGTATTTGTTTTATTCCAACTTGCAAAGTGTATATATGCATGTAGTTGAACACTGTAAATTATTCATCAAAAAGTATCATTAAATCCAACTTGGTATCAAAGCCAAAATTGCCAACGCCAATGATACACCACAGAACTTTCACCCATATCAAGTTCAAGCACAATGGTGCCTCCAATGCAGGGGGAAGCAACCAACCTTCACCTTTTGGTGTCAATGGGGTTTCTGTTGTGGAAGAATATGATCATTCCCATCATACATGACATAAAACTTGAAGATCACATTATGGGAACAAAGCTGTGTTCTCCAGAATTTGTTAGTATTCAAACCATTGAAGAAGCAGGAGCTAGTGTCGAGGTGACTCAAAATGTCAGTATAATTATTGAATGTCCACAGATCATTTGTTGATGGGATGGCTTTACTCCTCAATGAGTCCTGAGATTGCTATGACGGTTATGGGCTCCATCAACTCTAACCAACTCTGGACTGCCATAAGGAGAGCTATGGCATTCATAACAAATCTAAGATAATCTTTCTCACTGGAATACTCCATAAGACAAGGAAAGAGACTATGAATATTGACCAGTATCTTTTGACAGTAAAGCTTTTGGCAGACAATCTTAAGGTACCTTGTAAAATAATTCCTCATGCAGATCTTGTAACACAAGTCTTTGCTGGTCTAGATGAAGAATACACACCTATTGTTGTTCAAATAAATAGTAAAGACTCAGTCTCTTGGGGGATAACTTCAATCAACGCTCACGACATTTGAAAGCAGGCTTGAACATCTGGACGCTGTCAAATGAAGCGGTAGGGATTAACCTTAATTGGGCATCAATTAGTCTTACTTAGAAGCCAGGATCGAACAACTACCACTTCAAAGCTTATAAGCCAAACAATGGTGGAAGATTCTCAAACTACAGCAACTATACAGGTGGAAGAAAAAACAGAAACAAAGAAGGAGGCTTCAACAGTAGTGACAAACTTGTCTATCAAGTGTGTGGCAAGATTGGATACAAGGCAAATATCTGCAATTTTAGATATGATGAACGTTATAATAGAACACCACCAAATCAGAAAGAACAGGAGTGATTAACCACCAACAGCCTTTGTGGCATTACCCAACTCTCTAAATCATCATGCTTAGTTTGCAAACACTGTAACTAGCAATAATGTCACTAAAGTGATGGGAAACATCAATTTAGCAAATGAATATACTGGTAAGGAAAAAATCATGGTTGGAAATCATCTCACATGTTAGTGTTACATGTTTTCCTACCTTAACTGATAAACAACTCGTGCTGAACAAATTACTGGATGTGCCTGAAATTAGTGTTTCTCAATTGACATCTGAGAATCATGTGTATATGTAATTTTCAATCTGATTGCTGCTTTGTTAATGATAAGTAAACAAGGGAGGTAATGGTGTAGGGGAAGGTTAAAGAAGGATTGTATTAGCTAGTTCTTCCAAATAAATCATGTAGTGTCATCTCCTCTAGTAGTTCAAATTAA